GACTTCTGCAACTGGATGAATGCGGGTGCTATTTCCTGATCTGGAGAATATAGGAAAACTAGCAAGTTCCTGGTGATAGTGGTGGAGAAGTGGGAAGGAGAGACACCAATTTCAACTGTGGGTCTGTTAATTTTAAGGGGGGCTTTAAAAAAGAAATATCCATCTAGTAGGCAACTTGAGAATAGTTCTGTATTCACTAAGAAAAATATCTGTGTTTACGGTATATCTATAGCACAGAGGCAGATTTGTTGTGAAGCTGATGAAGTTAATCTTCAGGTCTCTTGCAAAGGCCCCTTTTAAGGACCTGAGACAAGCCCTAACAATTCTATATTTAATCAGCTGTATTAATTTTCTTAAGAGGGTCTTCTAATTGTGTAAGCTTCAGGCCTCAGAAAACCTTGAACCTGGCTCTGAGCTATAGGTCAAAATCATCAGTATACAGAGGGTAATGAAGGACAAGTTGGCAGCAGGCAGCAGAGTGCCGAACATGGCGGGTGTCAGCTGCGACGGGATGGTGGAGCAGGTGAGTGGGGGCGCCAGACCAAGATGGGGTGCTGGTCACTGTCATCAGGGTGAGCCTCTGATGGTTACTGAAAATTCTTTGCTCCCGTGCACCGCAGTCCTACCCAGCGCTCACACCTGCTGCCAGTGCCAGCCCCATTCCATCAGCGGGTGGCGTGAGCGAGCAGCTGCCTGCCCCAGTTGCCCCTGAGGGCTTCTCCACTTCCCCCTGCTCCTGAGGGGTGATCTTGGGCAGCAGCTGCCCACTCGCACCTGCTGACGGGCACGGCCCCCAATTGCTCCGCACTGTCAGCAGGGTGCGAGTGGGGCCAGCACTGTCAGCGAGTGGGAGCAGCGGTGCAGGAGTGGGGCTGCCGGCAGAGAGAGGACTGGGGGCCATGGCTGGAGGGTCTGAGACCTACCCCTATGCCCACCGCAGCCTCTCGGCCCACAGTTCCTTTCAAGGTGCACGAATTCATGCACTGGGCCCCTAGTATTAAATAAAATATTACAGAAATAAACAGTTCATAAGTTTTAAAGTGCATGCCATTCTGAGTAATGTGATAAAATCTCATACTGTCCTACTTTATTCCTTTGCCTAGTATATCCATGCTGTATACACTATCTACCCGTTAGTCACTTAGTAGCCATCTTGGTTATCAGATCAACTGTTGTGCTATGGCAGTGCTTGTGGTCAAGTAACCCTGTTTTACCTATTAATGGCCCCAAAGTTCAAGAGTAATGATGTTGGCAATTTGAATATGCCGAAGAGAAGTCATAAAGTGCTTCCTTAAGTGAAAAGGTGAAAGTTCTTAATAAGGAAAGAAAGAAAATATGCTGAGGTTGCTTAGATAAGAACAGTAAGAATGAATCTTGTAACTATGAACTTGCCTGATTTTTATAAACTTTATCATAGGTATGCATTTATAGAAAGAAAACAGAGTATACTGTACTATGTTCAGTACTATCTGCAGCTTTAGGCATCCACTGGGGGTCTTGGAACACATCTCCCCCAGATAAGAGGGGAATTACTGTATAGAGTAAAAAACAACAGAGGTCTTATTATTTTACACATAGTTTTCTAGGCATGGCTATTATTTTAAATTAGGTGTAAGAAAAATCAGAAAAAAAAATCATAAAAATAAGTTAAGCCCAGCCAACGTGGTTCAGTGGTTGAGCGTCAACCTATGAACCAGGAAGTCACAGTTCAATTCCTGGTCAGGGCACATGCCCAGGGTTGCCGGCTCTATTCCCATTGTGGGGCATGCAGGAGGCAGCCAATCATTGATTTTCTCTCATCATTGATGTTTCTCTCTCCCTCTCCCAAATCAATAAAAATATATATTTTTAAAAAAACATAAGTTAAGAGTTTGTGGCCATACAATAAATACACTATGGGTCAGTTGAACTTAAAAGCTTTATATGTTTATATTAAACTATAATCAACATTTGGGTACACTCATAATGAGTAATTTTGATAACCGTATAGAAAAAATTAAGCTGTATTTTTTCCAACTCTCAAAAGAGGAATGAAAATTTAAATTGAGAAGCTTTGTAGTTTTTATATAAATACTTTTAGCGTCACATAAATATTTTCTACAAGGTGGGGCAAAGTAGGTTTACAATTGTTTGTATGGAAAATAATGAAATTAGGAAAAAAACCAAGATGGCGGCATAGGTAAACACCGGAGATTGCTGCCTCGCAAAACCACTTCAAAATTACAACTAAAAGACGGAATGGACATCATCCAGAACCACAGGAAGGCTGGCTGAGTGGAAATGCTACAAATAGACGGAAAGAGAAAAGCATACCGAGACTCAGAGGAGGTGTGGTGCAGAAGTAAAATACAAAGGTACGGAGGCAAGCGGAGAGGGCTGGCAGCTGAGGACACGGTTGCCTTTTTCAATCGGGAGGGATTCTCAAGCTCTGAGCTCCAGTTCCGGGCGAGTCTCTGGGGACCCAGACTCATACGGGGAGAAACGGGACTGTCTGGCATCAGTCGGAACTCGAGAGCAGCTTTCTCTCGGAGTTGCTTGCAGCGATTGCCGGGACACTGAGAAGCAGGGCCTCTGAGGGCAGCCATAGCGGCTTGTTCTGCCCTGTTAATCCCCTGGGACCCCGCCCCGCCCAAGCCATGCACGGAGGCTTTTGCATATGAAAGAACTGGCCCTTTGCAATCTGATATTTACCTAACAAATTGCAGCTGGCCCAAGGCCCCAGGGCAACTTGCATTGCATCACAGCTGGCTCCTGCTGGATAGCCTCAGGCAGAGGCTAGATTAGCACATCATTAGAGATCCAGGAACCAGTGTGCCCGGTGGTCAGAGTGGGGCCATCTAGATTGCAGCTCCTCGGATCCATAAAAGACACACTCAGGGGGAAGACTCAGTGAGCACCAAAGCCCCACTGAAGCAAGTCTTGCTCCGGAGGGGTGTCTCCAGCACAGAAGTTCTCCCACTGCAGACACAGCTGATTCTCACAGCCAATTGGCCTGGAGCTCAATTCCTCCTAGTGATACCTACAACAATCAAGGCTTAACTACAAGACTGTACACAAAGCCAACAAGGGGGTGCACCAAGAGTGTCCACCTCAGGTAATTGGGGAGGCTGAGCCACTGGGCCCTATAGGACACCTAGCACAGAAAGCCACTCTGTCAACACAGGGAAGCATAAAAAAATGCCGAGACAAAGAAACAGGACACAAATGACAGAAATGGAGGAAAGCAAACGACTGGATATAGAATTCAAAACCATACTTTTAAGGTTTTTCAAGAATTTTCTAGAAACCGCCAATAAACTTAATGAGACCCTCAAGAAATCTAGTGAGACCCTCAAGGTTGTGATAAAGGACCGACTAGAAATTAAGCATACACTGACTGAAATAAAGAATATTATACAGATTCCCAACAGCAGACCAGAGGGTCGCAAGAATCAAGTCAAAGATTTGAAATACGAAGAAGCAAAAAACACCCAACCAGAAAAGCAAAATGAAAAAAGAATCCAAAAATATGAAGATAGTGTAAGGAGCCTCTGGGACAGCTTCAAGCATACCAACATCTGAATTATAGGGGTGCCTGAAGAAGAGAGAGAGCAAGATATTGAAAACCTAATGACAGAAAACTTCCCCTACCTGGTGAAAGAAATAGACTTACAAGTCCAGGAAGCACAGAGAACCCCAAACAAAAGGAATCCAAAGAGGACCACACCAAGACACATCATAATTAAAATGCCAAGAGCAAAAGACAAAGAGAGAATCTTAAAAGCAGCAAGAGAAAGAGAGTCAGTTACCTTCAAGGGAGTACCCATACAACTGTCAGCTGATTTCTCAACAGAAACTTTGCAGGCCAGAAGGGAGTGGCAAGAAATATTCAAAGTGATGAATGCCAAGAACCTACAACCAAGATTACTTTATCCAGCAAAGCTATCATTCAGAATTGAAGGTCAGATAAAGAGCTTCACAGATAAGAAAAAGCTAAAGGAGTTCATTACCACCAAACCAGTATTATATGAAATGCTGAAAGGTATCCTTTAAGAAGAGGAAGAAGAAGAAAAAGGCAAAGATACAAATTATGAACAACAAATACACATCTATCAACAAGTGAATCTAAAAATCAAGTGAATAAATAATCTGATGAACAGAATAAACGTGATTATTATAGAATCAGGGGCATAGAAAGGGAATGGACTGACTATTCTTGGGGGGAAAGGGGTGTGGGGGATGGGGGAAGAGACTGGACAAAAATCATGCACCTATGGATGAGGACAGTGGGGGGGTGGGGTGAGGGCGGAGGGGGGGAGGTGAGAACCGGGTGGTGGGGAGCTATGGGAGGAAAAAGAGGAACAACTTTAATAATCTGAACAATAAAGATTTAATTTAAAAAAGATTATCTAGCTTAAGCGTGATTGTTCGTAGTTAAAGTGATTAACTACCCGCCTGGCACTTAGTTAAGGGGTTTTATTCCCTCCCTAACTTCAGGAAAAAATCCCTACCTGGGGAAACAACCTTTCTCGGAGAGGTGACCTTGGTTAAAACACATAGCTCCAAGAAGGGGAGCAAACATATTAAGAACAGTATGCCATATACGACAGGTCCCTTAAAACATATGCTGTGCAGATGTTTCTTCCCTGCAGCAACTGTGTCAAGCAGCAAGGATGGACCAGCTTCCGGCAAAAGAGGCCCACACCAAGACACATCATAATTGAAATGCCAAGAGCTAAAGACAAAGAGAGACTCGTTTTTTGTTTTTGTTTTTGGATATGACCTTTATTGAGCTTATCCACCAGAGTGGAAATAATGTCTGTACAAAACCAAATGTTTGTTACTATAACTTCTGCATCACAATTAAAATCCAAACAGTTTTTTAAAAACAGTCAACTCAATCAAAACCCACTACTTCAGAATCAATAGCTTCTTTGAAGCCACATTAACACTTAAATATGGTTATGACTCGAATGCAGAAATTTGGTTGGTTGGAAAACTAATTAAACTTCCAACTTGCTCAAATAGAATTACAAAAAGGCAAAATTGTGTTTTTCACAGAGATACAGTCCACTGGAATCACCAACACTGGACAGCTGTTAGAGTATTTAGAGTCCTAAGATAATAAGAAATCCAGGCATCCTTTAGACAGTCATCTGTTGTCCTTTCTTCCCAATCAGAGATTTGTGGATGTGTGGAATAACACCACCACCAGCAATTGTACCCTTGATGAGAGAATCCAATTCTTCATCTCCACGAATAGCAAGTTGCAAATGACGAGGGGTAATACGCTTTACCTTTAAGTCTTTTGATGCATTGCCTGCCAATTCAAGTACCTCTGCGGTGAGGTACTCCAGAATGGCTGTGCTGTACACAGCTGCGGTCGCGCCTACACGTCCATGGCTGGTCGTCCTAGATTTCAGGTGTCGATGAATACGGCCCACCGGAAACAGCAAGCCGGCTCTCTGCGAGCGGAAAATCGCCTTTGTCTTGGCCTTTCCGGAGTCTTTCCCAGCCTTACCGCCAGCCATGTCGATTTCTGCTGAAGCTCAAGCGAGCAGGGCAGAGAAAGGAGGAGCCAGACACACTGCAAGATCCCAGCACCGACTCCCTTGCACCGCGATTCAAGCGATTCAAACTGCGCTTTCTCCTGCCTTCCCCGCTCTCTTTATATGGCAGAATGTTCCCTCATCCCAGGACGCATCCTTGAGGCTTCAGCCAATGAGCAAGCACAGAGAAGGCTGGAGGGGCGGGCGCTTGGCAGCCCGAGCCGCTATTGGGACATGGGAAAGGAGGGAGGAGAAGGGAGGAGATGGGAGGAGAAGGGAGGGATGGGAACGGGGAGAAGGAGGGCACTGGGGCGGGAGGCAGAAACAGAGCCAAGAGAGACTCTTAAAAGCAGCAAGAGGAAAGCAGTTAGTTACCTACAAGGGAATTCCCATACAACTGTCACTGATTTCTCAACAGAAACTACGCAGGCCAGAAGGGAGTGGCAAGAAATATTCAAAGTGATGAATAGCAAGGATCTACAACCAAGATTACTCTACCCAGCAAAGCTATCATTTAGAATCAAAGGTTAGATAAAGTACTTCACAGACAAGAATAAGCTAAGGAGTTCATCACCACCAAACCAGTATTATGTGAAATGTTGAAAGGTATTCTTTAAGAAGAGGAAGAAGAAGAAAAAGATAAAAAATATTAACAAAATGGCAACAAATACATACCTATCAACAATTTAATCTAAAAATCAAAATAAATGTATAAGAAATCTAATGAGCAGAATAAACTGATGAACAAAATGGAATCAGAGGCATAGAAATGGAACAGATTTATGATTCTCAGAGGGAAGGGTTGTGGGGGAGCGGGAAGAGATTAAACAAAGATCTTATATGCATATAGGCATTACCTATGGACACAGACAATAGGATGGCAAAGGCCTGGAGTGGGGTGGAAACTGGGTGGAGGGGGACAATGGGGGGTGGGGGGAGAAAAACGGGACATCTGTAATAATCTCAACAATAAAGATTTTTTTTAAAAGAAAATAATGAAATTAATAAATAATAATTCACTCTGGCTCAGGGTGAGCTCAGTTGATTGGAGCGTTGTCTGGTACACCGTAAGGTGGCAGTTTCAATGTCCAGTGTCCAATGTTCAGTGTCCAGTTCCTGGACAGGGCACATACACAGGTTTCAGGTTTGAACTTCAGCCAGGGCACATATACGAGGCACCTGATTGATATTTCTCTCACATTGATGTTTCTCTCTCTCCCTTCCTTTCTCTAAAACAAATTAAAAATAAATAGTAATACAAGAATAAACTGTGCTCATAACTATAAACCTAGTTTTGCCCCACCCTTATGCATTTCATAACATAATTACATAATATAGGCATATATAATATATATATATATGATAAATGTACTAGTTACTCTTTGCCTAAAAAAAATCTATTCTGTTTTAATCAGTGGACTTCTCCATTTTTAAAAATTGTCAAGGAAATCTTTAATAATGTCATGTGATCAGAAATTTCATATCTAATCTAAATCTCTGATTCTCATGAAGGAAGAGGAACATTTTTTAAAAAATCAGCTTTATTGAGGTATTTTCTACATACATTAAGATTTATCAGTTTTAATTAAACATTTCATTGTGTTTTTGACAATGTGTACAGCAGTATAACCACTGTGATAATCCAAATACAATATTTCTGTCACCCCCAAACATTCCCTTGTTCCCCTTTGCCATTAGGTTCCTCTCCTAATCCCTCATCCCTACCCCAGGCAACCACAGATCTGTTTTCTGTCATTACAGCTTTGACTTTACTAGAATTTTATATAAATGTTTATAGTCTTTTGTGTCTGGCTCTGGCTTCTTTCACTTAGCATAATGCATTTGAGATTATCCATGTTGTTTCATGTACGAGTAGTTCCTTTTCATTTATATTTTTAAATAGGTTTTTTATTGACTTCAGAGAGGGGAAGGGAGAAGGAGAGAGAGATTGAAACATCAAAGATGAGAATCATTTATTGGCTGCCTCCTGCGTGCCCCCTACAGGGGATTAAGCCTATAACCTTGCCCTGACCAGGAATCAAACCGTGACCTCTTGGTTCATGGGTAAATGCTCAACCACTGGTTCATGGGTCAGTGTCACATCAGCCAGGCAGTAGCTCCTTTTTATGCTAAGTATTAGATTCCATTTTGGACATATCAGTTTATCAGTTCACTAGTTGGTAGACATTTGTGTTGCTTTAGCTTTGGGCCATCCTAATATATAAAAAGCCAGGGGCCATCATGACCTAAACGACCGGATGGATGACCAAACAGCAGGCTGCTGGCATGAGGGAGCTCCCTCCTGGCCCCAGGCTGGGTGCGGCAGCAGCAGGAGGGAGCTCTGAGCCCCGACCAGGGCGCGTCAGAACTCTGGGTCTCTAGCAATCGGGGGTGTGGCCGGCCTTCAAACTGGACCCTGACAGGAGGGAGGAGGGAGCCCCATTCCTCATGGAATCGGCCGCTGGTCAGCTTGCTGTCAGTGGCCTGCCAGCCAGGAATCCCATTCACCTGCACCCAGAACCCTGACAGCAGGGAGGAGGGAATATGTCTTACAGTGAATGGTTAGTAAAACTTGGAGATGGCAAACTTGATAGCAGTTTTCATTTAGGAATGGATATTGAAATCCCCTGTGAAATGATTTGTAACAGATCTATTATTGAAGCTACCTTTGGAAATACTATATCTATGGATAATATTAAAAATATATCTAAACATGTAATTCTTTGTCCAAAAAATGAGTACATTCAAAAATTAAATGAAGAAATTTTGAATATACTTGATGGAGATTTTCACACATATTTGAGTGATGATTCCATTGATTCAACAGATGATGCTGAAAAGGAACGTTTTCCCATGGAATTTCTTAATAGTATTACTCCTTCAGGAATGCCGTGTCATAAGTTAAAATTGAAAGTGGGTGCAATCATCATGCTACTGAGAAATCTTAATAATAAATGGGGTCTTTGTAATGGTACTAGATTTATTATCAAAAAATTGCGACCTAGCATTATCGAAGCTGAAGTATTAACAGGATCCACAGAAGGAGAGGTTGTTCTGATTCCAAGAATTGATTTGTCCCCATCCAACACTGGCCTCCCATTTAAATTAATGCGAAGACAGTTTCTCGTGGTGCCAGCATTTGCGATGGCTATTAATAAATCACAAGGACAAACCCTAGACAGAGTAGGAATATTCCTACCTGAACCCGTTTTCACACATGGTCAGTTATATGTTGCTTTCTCTCAAGTTCGAAGAGCGTGTGATGTTAAAGTTGTAAATACATCACAGGGGAAATTAGTCAAGCACTATGAAAGTGTTTTCACTCCTAATGTGGTACAGAGAGATATTAGAATAAGTTTAATCAATTTATCAGTCATTGTTTGTATCAGTGTTGTTTTTACATCTGTTTTTGTTGTTTTTATATCATGTCTTTGTTGTTGTTATATCATGTTATGATTGTTTATTTATTAACAAATTTATATATTATTTTCATATACATTTTACTAATTTTCTTTCATCTCTGACACTTCTATTATAGAGAAAGGGCAAATAGCAATATTAAAATATTTCCTCTAATTAATCCCCTTTTATTGTGCATGAATTTTGTGCACTAGGCCACTAGTTATAAATAAAGCTGCTATAAATATGTACATACTAGCCTTCACATAGACATCTGTTTTCATTTCTCTTGGGTAAATTACTTAGAAGTGGGGTTGCTTTGGAGTGGGTTACAATGTAACATGTATTTAACTTATAAAAGAAACTGCCAAAGTGGGTATACTATTTTGCATTCCTGCCAGCAATATATGAGAGTTCTAGTTGCTCCCCATCCTTCACTGTACTTGGTATTGTTGGTCGTTTTACTTTTAGCCATTCTAGTGGGTGCCATGTTTTCTCATTGTATTAATTTTCATTTTCCTAATAACTAATGAATCTGTGCATCATTTCATGTGCATATTTGTCTTTTATATGTCATTTTTGGTGGAGTATCTGTTCTAATATTTTTCCATTTATTAATTGGATTATTTGTCTTACTGAGTAAAAGTTATTTATATGCTCTGAATAGAAGCCTTTTATCAGATATATGCTTTAAAAGTATTATCTCCCAATCTGTGGCTTGTTTCTTAAAATTGTTTTTGTTGCTAATCCTCACCCAAGGATATTTTTCCATTGATTTTTTTAATCTTTATTGTTGAAAGTATTACATATGTCCTCCTGTCTCCCCCATTGACCTCTTCTAGCTTGCCCCATGCCCCAGGCCTTCACCACCCTATTGTCTGCGTCCACGGGTTATGCATATATGCATACAAGTTCTTTGGTTGAACTCTTCCCACCCACCCACCCACCCTCCCCTGCCTTCCCTCTCAGGTTCAACAGTCTGTTCTGTGCTTCTATATCTCTGGATCTATTTTGTTCATCCGTTTATTTTGTTCATTAGATTCTTCTGCACCTGAGTGAGATCATGTGATATTTATCTTTCTCTGACTGGGTTATTTAGCTTAGCATAATACTCTCCAGGTCCATTCATGCTGTTGCAAATGGTAAGAAGTCTTTCTTTTTTTCTGGCTGCATAGTATTCTATTGTATAAATGTACCACAGCTTTTTTATCCACTCATCTGCAGATGGGTACTTGACTGGAATCCAACCCAGGACCCTTCAGTCTGTAAGTCGATGCTCTATCCACTGATCCAAACTGGCTAGGGCTTAAATTTTCTTAATAGTATCTGTCAAAAAGCAGAACTTTTAAGTTTCGATGAAGTACAATTTATCAATTTTTTCTTTTATCTTGTACAGCATTCTGCCTAAGAAATTGTTGTCTAACCCAAGTCTCACAAAGATTTTTACTATGTTTTATAGTTTCAGAAGTTTTATGTCTTACCTATAGGTCTATGATACATTTAAAGTTAATTTTTTTGGCATATGGTGTGAGGTAAGAGTAAAAGGTTTTTCCATATGGATGTCCAGTTGTCCCAGCACCATTTGTTGAAATACTATCCTTTCTGCTTTTGAATAACTTTGTTCCCTTTGTTGAAAATTAAATGAATATATTTGTATTTGTCTATTTTTGGACATT